CCTTCCTCCCCGTCGCCGGCAGCTCATTAGCGCTGGCTGGGACCTAAGCAGGGGCTGCTGTGGCTGGCGGAAACATGGGTGGGCTGAGACGGGATAAGACGTGGTCAGGGAAATTCCAGCTGCCCCGTGGTTAGCACAGGGCTGCTCCGGTTCCGGGAAGCCTGAAGGGGTCACGCGTGCTGGCTCTCCTTAGCTGCTTCCTCCCGAATATCCGTTCCCGGCGGCTGCTGGACTGGGGCTGCCCAGGAGAGGTGGGCGAGGAGGAGGACCTGGGCTGGGTGCCGCTTTGGGGCTGCGAGGCTGCCTGCGGTCGGCATCGAGGAGCTTTCTCAGCTCGCCCAGGCACGGTGGAGCTGCTGGGAGATGCTCCGGCTCCTGAGGGCTCTCTGCAGCAGCCTGGCTGCCAACCGGCACCAGCAACGCCGCTCCCCATGGAGCCTGCTCCCTGGCCGGGCTGGGTGAAGTGCCTGCGGGGCAGAGCCCTGGAGCGGGTACTTGCGGGTTCCTGGCCCGTTTGGGGGTAGTGAACCAGAGCTGTGAGCCCGGGCAGTGTCGGAGTGCTGGGGGCTGCCCTGGGCTGAGGCACGGCCGGAGGTCCCGACGCTTGCAGGGGCCATAGCTAGGGAGGCAAGTGCTGAGGGCATGCTGTGGAGCAGCCCCGGTGAGAACGTGTGCCAGCAACGGGCAGGATCATGTCCAGGGCCTGGCTTTGCCTCCCCTGTCCCCATGGTCACGGCACTGAGCCATGTCCCACCAAGAGCAGGGGGGTCCCGGAGCCAGGCTGCTACCTGGGCGCTGGCTGACGTGAGCAGCGCGTTTGCAGGGCCGGCTGCTCGTCTTCAGACAAGAGCATGGGGGTTCAGGAGAGGGAAACCCAAAACTCCATCCTTGAGACAGCTGCTGTGTTTGCTGAGGAAACAGGAGTTGGAAGCAGCTCTGCTCCAGCGCTTTCCCTAACCCCGGCGCTGCCCCTGTGCTGATTCATTGATTTGGACGGGTTATATACTGGGAGGGGAAGCATGAACCACACTCGGCTCTCTTGCCAGCACGGAGCTGTGCTCGCTCAGCGCTCCCGGCTGCAGGACACTCGGGTAAGTCTCCTCTCTGCCTCCGCTCCCACGAGTGGCCCTGGGCCTGGGGGACTCCCGGGGCAGCTCCAAGGGGTGGTGGGGTGGTGGTGGGTCTTGCATGTTCAGCAGCTTTTGACCTGATAGACATTGTCTTGCAAGGGTTCTCCAGCACAGCCAGACCACTTAGGCACTGTGGGAGCTGAAATAGTTACACAGACAATGTATCTTAAATAATAACCAATAGAGAAAATTAAGGGGGGGCAAAGTAACATTTAGGGGGGGGCTGAGGTTAGAAGCAGTGGGATGCTGAGGGGCTGAGTGGTAGGGAATATTCAGCCCCTCAGTCTGTAAACTTTTTGTCCCTAGAAAAAAAGATAAATTGTTTTCAGCTGCTGTTCCTGAAGGGTGCTCCAGCTTGGATGCTGTCTGAGTTGCCTCACTAGGGAGTGACAAGAGCAGGGCTTTTGATGTGCAAAGCGCTTGGGGAAGTTTATAAATGGCTCACTATAAACAAAGCTGTTCTTGGATGCAAATGGTTTCCATATGAGAAACATAAACTGTGCTGGCTCGTGGAGCGTTCCTCCCTCCCCGCCGAAGAGCCAGCGTCTCCCCCGGAGGGGGCCTGGGGCGGGGGGGAGGGGGTGTTTTTTTTTTGTGCCAGGTGGGACGCCATGCCCGGCCCCTGCCCTGCCTGCTTGCCCGTCTGGCTGAGCTGGGCTCCGAGTTGGACGAGCCGTGGGTTTTCTCCCTCCTCTGTGCCACTCAAAGCTGTTCGCGGAGGGCTGCTCCGCGCCAGCCTGGCACAGGGCTGCTGCTTTGATCTAGGGATGGAGAGGAGGAGAGGGTGTCCGTGGTGGCCATACTTGAGGGGTGCTGGAGGAACTTGCTGCACAGCCCTCACTGCCCTTGGGCTCCAGCGCTCCCCCAGGCACAACCCCTGTGACCAGCCTGCCACACACAGGCGTCCACAGCAGACACCCTGCTCCTGCTGGGGCTGGGGTGCAGACTGGGCCACCCCTGTACCCACCGAGACCTTCTGCTGGGGCTGGGGTGCAGACTGGGCCACCCCTGTACCCACCAAGACCTTCTGCTGGGGCTGGGGTGCAGACAGGGCCACCCCTATACCCTGGGCTGGGGAGCTGGCAGGGGGTCCCATTGGCCCAGGCTCCTGCAGGATCAGAGCTAAACCACTGCTGGGCAACAGGTGCCAGCACTGGTCCTGGCTCCCCAGAGGGGTCTGAAAGCTGCTCGCTGCTGGGTAGAGCCAGGAGGGTCCTTGGGGGGGCTGGGGGACCACCTTTTTCCCTGCTCCCACCCAGCACCCCTGGGACCCGCTCGGCTGCGAGTGCCGCTGGCCGGCTCCGGCGAAGGTCCCGGCTGTTCGGTGACGCCGCGAGGCCCGTGCTGCTGGTAGCAGCTGGCCA